AATGGGAGGACTCAAACATCTGCAGTTTGCAAACAAAAATCAAAACAGTAATTAGCACAAACAAAACTCACCTGAGTTCTGATAGAATAAGTGCAGAAAGTACTTTTGTCAAAACACAGTGCAGGGTTGGTGAGCTGTTGGGGCACGCATTGCTCACCCTTGCCATTGATTTGCCAGCCATCTGTAGGCTTCCCACAGGATCAAAGATGTGATCTTCACAGACATCTAAATCAGTTCAAAAATCCCCTAAAGAAACAGATGCTAAAGCAACACCCAGAAAGGCAAAGAGAATGAAACATTTCTAAACCCTGAAGGCTTTCAATTGTTGTCAGATGAAGTGGAGAAACAGTGTTTGAGTAGGAAACATCTATTTGCAAATAGATGACAAACTTCTATCACACTAAGAAACCCAAACAATAGACAGCGTGCCTGAGCAAAATGGGAGGCACGTGTCCCCAGGCATGACAGTGACTAAACTTCAAAAGAAGATCTGATTAGTTGGTTTTGCACACTGTTGTCATTCATTACAACTATTAATTACTGTATCTCACCACAGAAAATCAAAGCTATGATTTAACACTGAGAACCCACATGGCTCATGGACTGAGGGCGATGGATGGAGCTCTGAGTGGAGATGCTGATTGAAGAACTGTGAGCAGGAGCATCACTCACTGTCTACTGGATCAGTGGTACTGACTGGCAAACTGCTTTATTAGACAGAACTTGTTGCAGCAAAACAAATTAAAGCTATTACTGATTTAAGTTAACAATACACACGATCAGAACTAGACCTTTTCTTGAGAAGACCAAGAGAGGCCCCTTTGAAATGACCTGAAGGGAACAACAGCACTGCAGAAAGTCTCCTAAGCAAAGCTGAAGGAGCTCAGAGTGCATATTGCTAATGGTGTGGCTGAAGAGACATCACCTCGATGCTACAGAGAGCAGTGCTCAATCATCCTTAAAGGCAACAGAGTAGAATTTCTCTTGTACGTGACAAGGAGGATGCAGAATTAGGCCCCATTAGGACAGAAGAATTTGGTCTGCAGTCTCACTTGCAGAGGAAACTAGCCAGATTTTTTCCTGTGAACTGGAAACTTCTGGCTACAACAAGATAGCAAAAGCTTCATTGCTTCAGGGAGTGAAAAACAGGGCTGGCCATTCTCTGTCAACTCTACATCAACACTTGTGATGGCCCACTTGTCTCCCCAGGAAGCAGCGGACATTCCAGCCATACTCAAAGCCTGAGACAACCCTAGTCTTCTTCATTAGGTGACACTGGACCTGACACAATACAAGTATTAGGAATGGGACCTGCGAAAGCAGCTACGTGGTTGGAAACTGGGACCTCTGGAGGGCACCAATGTCTAAATACATCATGCAGTAAGGGATGACCTCCTGGAAAGTGACTTCCAAAGCATCTACCAAGAGCAGCAGCCAAGTGTGCCGTTTCAGGGCACTACTTAACTTTTCTAGACAACTGTATCTCTGGAGCTGGTGCCACTCTTAAATTCCTGTGAGATACCAGACACAGGAGAAATTCAGGAGGTCTTAAAGTGATACAGATACCAGTCTTGGAAATGATTCTTTTGAAAGTTGTGCTGGAATTATTTGCAAGTATCTTCACCTCTAGAGTAACATAATCTTGTTGAGACATAGCATAAGGACTGACACCTTGAAGTATAGAATCAGGATGAAGATAAAACTTTCCGAGGGGAAAAAATAAAGGAAAAAAGAAAGAGAAATTAAAAAACCTGAAGCTGTTGATGTTTCTTATAAGATCTTTGCTTAAAAACCCTCATCACAGACTGCTCCCTGTGTACTTTTATCTGAATAACAAATACTGGAAGATTCATCTGATGATGAGAGGTGGCTGTGACATCAGGAATAGCTTAAAGCCTTCAGGCAAAGCCACACCCACTAAGACAAGAAAGCACATTTTTATTTATTCCGAAGTTGGATAACTCCAACTTAGCTGAGCAGTGAGAAGAACAAAGGATGGAGGCATCCTACAACCGAGAGCACACAACACGTTCGGTAGACCGGGGAGCACAGAAGGAGAGAGCCTATGTAAGTACTGTCAGGCAGAAGTATTTGGCTTGAATATTAGGTGCAAACATGCTTATAACATGAATGGTCATGCAAAGGCTGCTCTGAAAGTAATGCCTCCTATTTTATTATGTTGGCCCACAATGTCAGAGGCAGATGGTGGTGGTACGGCAGTAGCGGTTGAACCTTCTCACTGATATCCCATTACATGTTGTTGCTGTGTGAGAGATGGCAGCAGAGGGACAGTGTGACAGAACGGCGTCTGACATGGAAGTGTGTCTGAAGCAAAGGTGTGTCACTGAATTCCTCCATGCAGAAGAAATGTCACCTACTGACACTCACTGACGGTGAACATTGATGGAGATCAAACAGTGGGTGTGAGCACAGTGAAGTGCTGGGTGACACGTTTCAGCAGCAGTGACAGTGGGGGCATCTCCAGTGATGCTGAAGTTTATGAGCATGGCATGCAGGCTTTTGTTTGCTGCTGGCAAAAATGCACAGCTAATAACGGTGACTGTGTTGACAAATAGCGTTGGGTAGCTGGGAGTTTATCAAATAGTACTATTGTGCTCTTTTTTGTAGCTTTCACAGAAAAAAATAGGAGGCATTACTTTCAGAGTGACCTACATACAAGAAATCACTTGAAGGAAAAGTCTGTTTTTTCTCTTCTTGGCATACAATGAAACTGAAGACAAATGGTATATAAATAAAACTGCGTGCTTCAGTAGTACAGAATGATAACAATCTCAGCAATTCATTGGCTCACGCCAGGAAATTCTCCACACACACTGCTTGCAGGTTATCAGCTTTATCAGATTGGATACAGAAAAATAAAATGACAGAAGCAAGGAGTCAGATACAGTGCCCCCACAACAGAGCTTGCAAGGAGAAAAAAAAAAAAAGCACTTTACATGGGAAAACTCACACTCTGGCTTGACAAAAGGTTAGGCTGTGAAATAAAAGGCATATAGCACTCAGAACCCTACATACGTGCATGTATTGCATATGCCACATCCACTGTAGTCAGTTACCACTTGAGCAAAAACTATCAGATACTGAGAGCGGACACACACCTACCTCACATCTCCTCAGTGAAGGACGTGTCAGACATTCCCAAATAATACACTTGTTCTATTATGCTGCTTATTGCTACAGCTCCAGGTCTTTCACAAATGGCTCGAGTACTGTCACCATTCTTCCTTCACTAACGGGAAGCCAGAGACAGTGAACAGGATGGTGTCCAACTTACCCCATGTCTAGCAAGTCCCAAGTTAAGTAGCATTTTTTGACCTTGAAGTCAGCTTCCAGCTCTTAGAACTGAGATAAATCTACATTTCCCTCCTTCGTAACAGATGAAAGCTATAAATAAAAGTATTCTGAAGATCAGAGACCACGTAAACAGTACTTACCATTCACTTTAGTTAAGAAAAGGCTACAAAAATCCTACCATAGGTTTGCAGCCTTGACTTTGTAACCTTGACAGATTTCACAGGACATTTGGTGGGACAGCAAAGTAAGAACAGTCATAAACAGGCCCCGTTAACACTGTTTTGCCCACACCTAAGCTACCTCGTTAACTTTTGGGAGGTTTGGATGCAGAACTGTTTTAATGCTTCTCACACCACCAGCTGCTTCAAAAGTGAAGCAACACCATGAACCCTCCTCACAAACTCATTTGTCCAGGTCCTCTGAGTTCAGTGGCATTGATGTTGCATCAGGAATCTTGTGAGCAGATGCGGATGACTGCATATATGGAACCCCCAGAAACATCCCATACAGGTACACGATCTTTCCCACCCAACTACTGCACATGGCCACGTTCATTCTAGCCCCTTCCTGATACCTACCACATATGCTCTATGTTCTGCAGCACGTAACTAAGAGACTACTGACATGCTACACAGGCCTATGGACAGCTGAGACGGGCTCCTAAAATCCCCTCCTCTCAGGAGAATGACACAAAGTATTGATGACACAAAGCTTCAGACCACCTGAAGCACCCTTACGGAATGTTTCCGTTAATTTTCAATGCAACACTTGTACCTCATTTAAATACCCCAATGATTTAATCATTTCTATTAAGGATAATGATCTCTGCAACAAGTTCAGCACAATTACAGCCTCATATTTTAAACGTCACCATAAGAGGTAATTTTTCATTTTTTTTTTTTTTAAACTTTCATTGACTAATCAATCACTGGCTCATTTTAGCAGAGTTTAAGATGATTAACCTTCTGCAAGTTTCAATGAAGCTAAAACCACAAAGGCAATCTCAATTTAAAGCAGCTGAAACCGGTTTTGCCTTCAGGGACTTACTTTTTAGGACTCCACTAGTGATGATAAACTCTCTAATGTGTAAAGGGGCCTAGAAAAAAAAAAGTATTTTCAGGAGCAATACTGTAGAAAAAGTATAATTGACAAATTGAGAAATGGATGCCCAGAGAATACTTCTACAGAACATTGTGCTGCCTTTGCTCTGCCCAGTTACTACTCTGCATGAGGAGAATTTTGCACTGTTCTCAGCATCAGGTAGAGAAGCAGCTCTTCCAGTTGGCAGAAAATAGCTTGGACTAGTCCTGTCTGTGCCAGTGAGGCTCTATGCACATGCATGTCCCCAGTGCACATATACATAAGTCTATAACTAAGGGGGGTGGGAAGATCTTGAAATCTGAGTGAAAATCCACGAAATTAAGCCCTTGCTGAGATCTCTGAATGTGATAAAACTTCTGAAGAGGATAATTATTGTTCTCGATCTCTTTGCTCAATTATTTGAGATGCAACAGAAGCAGACTGAGTATCAACACGAGTTGATAATTTTGATCTACCAGCTACTTATCCCTTTGACACGTACAGTAACTAAATATATGCAGAAGTATCTATTTTAAAATATGCTGCAAATAAACTCATTACACCCACTTTTTGCTCCCAAACAAATATAGAAGGAGAACAATACAGTAGTTTATACCCCATTTATTAAGACAGAGGCATCTATTACTTAATACACCAATCGGATAGCTATAGATCACATTATTTTCTCACTATTAAGATGCAAGACAGTTTGGCAACCGGTTAACAAAGACAAGTTGGGCGGCATGGAGACACATGGAAGCTGCAGAGGGTCAAGAACCACCTAAGCCCGTGTGACCCAGCGCAGCACTATCGCACACGGAGACGGCACCGGGACAGTGCCATCACGGCACACAGCAGCCGAGTGCTGCTGGCACACTCAAGAGCCAACTCCTCGAGTGCCCTGCAGGCCTGCCAGGGCCCCTTCAGCTGGAATGTCGGGAATGGGTCCAGGGACTGTCTGGGTGCCGCTCTTCTGGACACCTACCAACAACTGAAACACCAAAGCTACAGTTTCCTGTGCAGGGATCGCATAGTTTTGTAAGAATGAAGGCTTCTGGTAAGTAAGTTTATAGTGCAATCTGAATTCATTTGTGTCCACAGTGTTATTATTCATTCTCCCAAAACAGTTTAAATATAATCACGTAAGAATTTGACATCTGCATAACGATATTACAAAGTAGAGCTTATACAGTTAGTGACTACACATACTAATTTTTAATAAATTTCTCTCACCATGCTTTTTCAAAGCTACAGTATGACAGCAAGAAGTGACAAGTCAAGAAAAAGCAGTCAAGAACTTTTGCACCTTTCAAAAGCTATTAAAATTCTCAGGACTGTAATAACATACCGTATCAGACAAGAAGCACACAGTGTGCAACTGAACGGCTTCTCCAAAGTTTTAAGAGCAAAACCTAATTCTGCCTCCTCTTTGCCAGCATGCCACCATGCTGTAACTCCTGCTGGGAAATCAGAGCTTCCTTTATTCCACAGAAGCAAGTTCAGGTATGTCTCTGCTTGTCCATGTAGCTGTGTGCTTAACGAGTCAATCTGCCACATAACCTACATCATACATACACAAGTATGTATTTTTTCCTTTCTACCAAAGATGGGGGAAAAAAAAGGTCAAGCACCTTCAGCTTCAGCTCATAAATGCATTGTGTTGGCCCCAAGAAACCTATCTGATTAACGGCTGGAGTTTTAATGCGAATTTACAAAGTGAACATTTCTTCAGCTTGAAGAGTGTATATATACAATAGTTACCTGGGTAACAATGAATGTACAGACACTTCATTGCACTCATGTCCCATTCATATACAACTTCTGAAAACGGAATATTGTATAAAAATAAGAAAAATGGCAATGCTTCATTGAAATACCAGATTTGAATCAGTATGGCAACATGCAAGCAAATTAAGGGAAAGAACAGGTTTATTTCCATTCTCTAAACGTAACATCAAGAGACAACTTCTTTTTAAGTCTTAAGACATAGCAAAAGAGGTAACTACTCTTAAAAAAGAATCCTCAACAGATCATTACCTCACTGTGTAACATTCGCTTTAAGCATCTTAATGTTAAGACATCAAGCTATTTCCTCCTCAAAGTTGTCATCAGTAGTATTTTTAATGGAAAATAATAAAGCTGCATAAAATACAGACATCTTAAGTCAAGCGCATTTGGCAGGTGCAACCAACGGTCAAGCTAAATGATTCTTCATGTCACTGTGAAAAGGGAGAGCAGCTGTGTTACAACGTGTTTTGGAAGAGTTAGCACTTTAAAAGCCAATCAATTTCTATCCTTCCTATTTTTTTTTTAGAAAAGCAATTATGAACAAAAAAAATCTCCTTCAGCCACAGTCTGTAGAAAACTGCTTATAGCGGTAGTGTGGCAACAGCAGCAAACACAGACCAAGCCGTTGGCCACAACATGCAATTACAGGTGAAGACAAAAAGAACACAGCCTTTCTCTATTTGGAGCGTATGCGATGCAGGCAGGAAGTTAAAGAGATTTTTTTAAATTCCAATATATTAATGCTCACCATATCAATGTACTTTGGGAAGCTTCAATAAAGACCACCAATGCACATGTGCTTGGAGGCATCTTACTGACACACACATTATCTATGGGCAATGCAGATTTGTGTAGACCAAGATTTGGCACATAAGTAATCTCACAAAAATACTTTAGGAAAATAAGAGTTAGAAGTACTTTCATTACTTTAAATGTGAATTGTTTTTAAAATGAGACAGACAGTGATTTTAGAACAACTAACAGAAAAATCAGCTAGTATGTTTCTATTAAACACTGTATTTCAAGTTATCTTTGAGAAGAAGATGCACGCTGCCTGCATTCATCTCTGTACAGTACTCAGCACCTCTTGACTTTACAGTGTCAGTCTTGCATGCAATTTCACAGCAAATATAGGCTCCAAAGCATTCTGCAAATATTTTGTAGAAGCCTGGCTTGCATATGGAGACTAAAGCAAACAGGTTTTATACTAATGAAATGCAGAATCTTTCTTTGTTTCCAAATGATGCAGAATCTTAAATATAGACTTTGCAATATAAATGATTGTCGGTATGAAGTCTAGCATAGAAGAGATACTGGATACACACACAGATCTTTCAAAGACTGTATGCTTCTAAGTTAAAGACTACCCCTTCATAAGCACAAAGTCATCAAACAAAAATTTAAATACATAAATGTCAGAAGATGGCTTTGCAATTTATTTTCTTAAGAGAAGTTTCATTCTGACAAGAAAATTATTTGGACCTCAACTGCCTACATCCTTAACAAAACTGATCCAAAACCAACAACAAAAGACCCTCAGCTATTGTCAATAGACTACATTTCTCCAGTTCCATGGGGATATGAAAAGACTTCTAAAAAAGATTTAGATTTAATGCCCAACTTTTTTTTTTTTAATAACTGAAATGGTCTTCTACAATGACCCAGTAATAGAGCAAACTCCCCACACATTCTCATTTCAATAGCAACAATTACTAACTCAATAATTTTCCGATGTTGGGTTAACGTAAAATGGAAATTCTGATTACCACAATTTCCATCTTTTGGTAAAGTAGATCTGCTGCTGACTTCCTAATGTCTTATGATGCACATGTTTATATGTAACAAAACCACCAAGTTGTGCTAAGTATTCAAAGATCTGAGTTCCCTCATAGCACCTGTTCTTTTAAACAATGGCAAAATCTCCTGGCAAGGTTTTTGCAAAATAATTTCACTGAGTAAATCCTACCTATAGCCCTTTCTACAGAGATAAGAGTCACCTCCAATGAATACTTCACATGATTATTAAATACCTGTCTGTCACGTAAGCAGATTAGATTAGAATCATGCAAGCATACCTTATTACATTGAATCCTACAGTAAGAAAAAAAACCAGTTGTTTGCACACATATTTTGATGAGGGCATTTACAACATTTTCTACACAAAATCAGAATGCCAAAGTTAAACTAGAGTCCTCAAAGGAGTCAAGTACTTGCATTCTCAACATACCAACGTTTCAGTGACTTTAGAACTGAAGTCATCAATTAGAAAAATATTCTGCAACGTGAGCAGCTAACACTCAAGTCTATTATACTTTTAAATTACGTTTACATAATTTTTAACATAGGCACACGAGCAAGTTATTCTGTATATTTCAGTGAAGCAAAGCTTTAAAACAGTTGTAGAGGAATATATAGAATCATTCTTGTGTCTGTCTCTCTCAAGGGAGCAATAAATCCTCTCCATAAAGACCATTTACACAAATACAAATCTTGTGAGGTTAAGGTTTCAGTTGTTTTTTAATTTTTTTTCCTCTAAATATTTACTACACAAAAATCTTAAATGAATGTGTATTCCTGACCACACTGATAACGTCAAAGCTAGGATCTCATCAGCCAGTTTATGACTAGCAATACTGCAACTGTTGTAAACAAAAGACAGGTCCTTACGTTGGGACGAAACTTGGCTGCAGGTTAAACTGTGTGCTGCTACTACTAAAAGCAAGATTTAAAGTAAACTCATCTGGAATTCAGATCTGATCAAGGGAACAGTGAGAACGATACAATGAAGGGACACTTAGGTGCACTTTCATGCTGGTGAATTTTTTCCTCTTTCTATGCCTAGAGTAGTTTTAAACCAGGAGCTGCATATCCAAGGACACACACAATTTAAAACTGAAGTGACCATTAGCACATTTGTACACATACTTACATAAACTTGGTATTTACATACAAAGTTTCACCGTAACAGCTGAAGTCTTAACACATACGAAAGAAGATAACCTACTACAAAGAATGTATAACCAGATCACAGATTTTCCACGAGCATATAAACACATTTTAAAGTGCTTTCTGGGTGCTTCAAATCAACCCCTTTCAGTATAAGCTTCTATGTAGTGCTGTTCCAGTCATTACAAAATTATTTAAATCATTCTTCTTCAGATACATCACGTATTCAAGAAACAAAATGATGACACCCTTGACGTAAAAGTTTCAAGCTCCACCAACACAAATGTATACATTGCTTAAGTTCAGATGAAGTTGTCAAATACTTTGGTTTATCGTAGCTCAGGTTAAATATTTGATAGACCAGAAATTGCACCTCTCCACTCGCAGTTTTTCACTACAAAACACCCCATCATAAATTGACAGTATTCTTTGGTAAAAACAGGACATTTGGCCAGTTTGCGTGTACATCTATTTATTAAAATAGTCTAAAAGTGAACAAATGCCGCTGCTGTACTGTCAATTTACAGGAATAATCATTCCTTCCTCATTGGGGAGTATCAAAATATTAAGCTAAGCAGTTAGCTACGTAACAGGCTAAAACACATTCAGCAACTATTACAGGGGATCAATAATGTTTTAAGAATATTTTTTGCTTAACATTGATACTTTACAAAATCTTCAAAATGCTGGATGCCTGCAGACAAGTTCATTATTTTGTAGTGACTACAGAAACATTCAATGCTGTACACTGTCAGGTTTCTGATACACAACATTACAAAACCCCAGAATACGGTGTGCTGACCAATACTCAGCTGCACAGTATTTGTGCATTACCTACACTAAGAAAGCCTAATAAAAATTCAGTTAACTGCTACAAGTTACGTGAATATATAAAAACACAGCAGATATACAAGTATAACACTGAACATACTGTACTTTATTAGCACAAAAAGCCAGAACAAGGCACAGCAAGCAGAAAAATACATCAATAGAAGGGTTAGTGTAGCATACAAGAATAATGTTTATTGTACTTGCAGCCAAAATGTTCCCTACCTCGCACAGGTCACTGCCAGAGAGAAGTAAGTAGTAACATACTGTAGCAGCTGGTAAAGAAACTAGGGAGCATTCATAATTGGTACAAAACATTGAACAGGGGACAGGGCATTCCAACAAAATTTTAGTGCAAAAATGTCTGAGACAGAACCATATGAAGTTCCATCTCCAATTAAATAAGCAAACAGAACTTAGAATTTTGTTTCCAAGTAATCTGTTGAAACTATTATCAGTGCATATTACTTTAAAACATTTTAAAAAGCGCAAATTGAAAGTTATTTACAAATAAAGTGTAACAGTACCTTTGAAATCTGACATTTCAGACATGTCAGATTTTGTATTCTGATTATAATTCAACCAATTGTAATTTTCTCCATAAAAATATCAGACAACTTTAAATAAAAAAAACAAACAAACATTTTCTCTTTACTATTACCTTCCATTGTAAATTACAAGTAGTTAGGCTTTAGAAAAATACAAGAACTTTCATTTCATGGCTATAACCCAATTCTGCGTCCTGCCACTGAATCAGTAACTCACGCTGGAAGGTATGCAACTGTCCAAGACAGCATTACTTTTGCTAACAATGCCACTTAAATCTCCAAGTGTTTAAAATAGAATTACAGTACTGAGCAGGCATATTCAAGTCTTAATCATTAGGAAACCCTATACACTGAGAAAAGCATGATTCATCTGCTAGCATCCAAAAAAGCCCGTTAACTCTTAATGGACTGCAGGTTAGCCCTGCTTCCTGTGAACCGCTCCTGATAAAAACAGAATACTCTTATTTGCTACTGTTCAGAAACTCAACTGTGAGCTCAATTAGTACTTTGAATAGTGGAAATATTTAAAGACAATATTTTAAAAAAATACTTTAAATATGAGCAAAAATGCTCCTCCAATACAGTCTTTCTTCATTAGCATTACACGAATGCTCCATGGAAAATGCCTCATAGTTTCTTCATCCAATTACTACAGCTATAAAAACAATATTTAGGAATTAGCAAAAATACTTTCACTAGGCCTTAATGAAAAACGTGCAGAATTGTCTGCTTATTGTTTCCAAGAGGCATCACAACTTCGTTTGATTAACAGCAGGCAGCATCTGACAGGATACTAACACTCAGCTTCAATAGGATATTGCAAAAAAGCTAGACGTTGTTGGTGCGTTCGCTGCAGTTAAACTGTAACACACAAGGAAAAGCATATTGTGTAAGCTTACTGGAGACTCTGATTTCCTTTCACTTTGCTTTTATAGGTTCCCGCTCCAGCCATCGCACCCTGACTTTCTGTTTATAGTGATACTCCTTTAAAAAGTCTTGCAACATTGAAGGTAATGGAAGGTCATCAATCCCATCGTACGTAGTGCACCTGCAGATTACTGCCCGGCAGATATACTGCAGACTAAAGGGGAAAGTCCTGTTCAGAGATACAGTTAGCAACGGTTCAAAGAACATGCAAGAGCTCGGGTCTTTGTAGTGTTCCAGAAGCCCTGTAACGGTGGAGGAGTGAAACACACAGGGATCGTGGGCATCAAAACTGAAGTTGTGATTCCACTGCTCAATGCGTGCATGCAGCGATCGGTTGTAACGACGGAAGCTCACAGAGAAGAGGTAGTCCTCTTGTGCAGAATCCCTGAGCAAAAAAGTGCCTTCCGGTTTACCCTCCAGAAGTGCTTCTGCTTCGTAACGGTCCATTACACCCCAGTAACACGGGTTACCTGTGATCTGAAGCAAGTCTGGCACGAGGCAATGGATGTAATCGATCTGAGTGTGCACCTTCCAAGCCCCCTGCTTGCTGATATGGCCGTGGCTCTCTCCAGACATCTGGCGCTGCTTTTGCCTGCGCGACTGTAGACAAAGTGTTGTTGTGTCCTCTTCAGAGTCACAGTTTCCTGGAGGAGTTGCATTTTTGTCCCCGGTCAGCTCAGTCATACCGGGGGCTAGCTTTGGTCCCAGTTTATATAACGGATTAACCTGTGCTGTAGCTTCAAAAGTATGTATTTGGGCATTGGGAGGGGGATCAACCCCTTCTTCAATACTGAGTCTACGTCTCTCTCTCAGCCTGTCTTCTTCGTCTTCTGTGGAAACCAAGGAAGGATCAAATGTATCAAAAAATGTTGAGTGCGGACTGACGGGAGCTGTGTGCTGTTTAATCAGATGCCACTTCTGAGCCAGATCTGAGCCTGCAGGAAAAGGGCATTTCTCAAGCATTAGTTCAGAGAGATGGATCTTTCTTTTGTTAGAAAACAGAGGTTTGGACTGCTTGCTGTAAGTTCGCACGGGAAAACACAGTCCAACAGTATCCTGTAGACGCTGTCGCAGAGAACGGCTGCCTACTGTCCTGTTTGACACTGCATCCATATCATGTACAGAACTCACTCCATACCTCCTCTCTCTCCTCTGCAAACCACTTCGCGTTCTACCAAATCTTTTTTCGGTATCCAAAGAGCTCTGGGTTTTGGTAGAGCAGGAATGTTTCTTCTTCCCACCCCAAGGAGCATGACGAGAATAAGAGTCCCTTCGAGCAAGTCTAGCTCCCGTGGTGACACATGAGTCATTCTCTTTCTCAATACTTATTTCAACAATCTGAGGAATTTCTGTGACACAGTTTTGGTTCCGCCTGATGGAGTTCTTTGAAGGACTCAAACCTAACTGCAAAGCAATGTTTTCTCTCAGAGGGCTGCTGGGTCGCTGTTGAGCCAAACTGGTTATCTGGACAGCTCTGTCTTTAGCAGATGAGCAACTACTGGAGTTAACGACTACGTTTTCATTTTGGCTTCCACCTTCATGACTGAAGAGATTCTGGCACCTGTATTTGAAATTGTTCCACATCTTTCCCACTTTATCCATGGATTATGTTATCTAAGTTCAAGAGGGAAAGAAATATTAAAATAAATGCAGTTTAAAAAAGGAGAATAAACACTCATTTATCCACCAAGTTACAAAAATAACTTTGCTAACTGAACACAATATAGTTGAAAAGGTATCCTCAGTGTTCCATAGTTGTATAGCACTGACATGCAGCACATCATCTTGCAACACAGAAGAATCACCAAGAAAAAAAGTGTTTGGGAAATTACAAACATAGAATTTATAAAGCAGGCCCATTTATGTTTCTATTGCATTATTAAAAAATGTAGGTAAAACTGCAGATTTGTACCTGATAGACAGGAAATAAGCAGTTTTAAATGCCTCTTCACTTTAAGTGTCACATGTAATGTACAACTCCCATATAAGCTTATAGTAAGTAGCAATAAAATTCTGACAAAAAAAAAAAACAAACAATTCAGGTAACTCTCAACAATGAAAACAGTTAGCAAAAGCCAACAAGCATACTGCAAGCATCAAGATATACCTTCCAGAATTGAAAGCTCTTGAGAAAAAAAAAAAGAACCAAAAGCAGTAAGATATCAGCAGAACTTAGAATTCTGAAGTGTCTGATACATTAGTAAAGCCATAGATACAAAACATTTAAAAACTGTCTGGCTTTATTACTTAAGCTGTGAAAGAATGAAAGAGCCCAGGGAACTTTTCTATCTTTAGCAAGGGCTCTTAAAAAGAAACCAGCTCTGCAGCAAAACCACAGTGACAGTGAAACGTGAAGTAAAAAGAGAAACATTAATAGTGTGTAGTCTGCAACTGCTTCTTCAGAAACCAAGTTTGATAATTGGAACAAAACTGCCAAAAATCACAAGACTGCCCTAGGACACAGAGAAATAGGCTAATACTGTACCAAAAATTCAGGCAATGCCAAGCTAAACTAGATCTAGTTAAGTTCTGAGAGAAGTGCTAAACTTAAAGGACCAAAACACGTCACCTTATTTAACTCTTAGTGAAAGCTGCTCTGTTCTATAGATATGGAAGCAACACTCCTCTGTTGTTGCAGTTCTTCCCTGTTAAGAGTTAGAAATCTAAAGCAGTGATTAAATTTCATGAAGTAAGGCAGATGATAGACAAGTAAGCAATAGCCCTGCAATGCAGTCTAGAAGTTCCTAAAATGCAGCTGAGCACTTATTACTGTGGCAGAATTTACTGAGATTGAGGAGGAGATGGAGGTACAGTTTACAAGAGATTCGTGATTAGATAATTAATTCAAAATTCCTCCTAACTGATATGTGAATGGAAAACAAAAGGAACAAAAACTTATCCCCCCACCTCTTGCTCAAGTACTTCACCAAAAGCACTAAGTTAGGCATCCACACCCAACTACATAAAGTAAACTTCAAGAATCTAGCACGGACTCAGGGAGGAGCAGGGAAAAAATAACCAGATCTTAACCATATCTGGGGACTTTTGGCACAAGTTACCTATAACACTGTGCTAATGATAATCTCAATTACATTAAGCAGTCATTAAGAAGGAAGACACTTTTTAAAGTAGAACACTTTCAGATGGAGAAAACTTGCAAAAATAGGAAGCCTTACACATAGAAGGCACTCCAGAGTTCTCAGCATGTGTTAGAAGTGAATGAACGTGAGCACATGAGCAAAAGATGTCTTGCTGATTCAAAAATTCTACATTAATCTTTCTGGGAGTTGTTTGGACCAAGTTGGTAGACTGAGGGAGTCTTAAGAGCAAAAGAAGTAATTACAGATCATGTAGATTTGTAGGAACCACTCAACCAGGTGTCATGTCACCACAGCCAATAATAGCTGCTGGTGGAGTGTCACAGATTGTCCACACTTACAGGGAAGCGTACGTTTGATGTGCCAGTTTGTCAACACAGTATATATAAGGTTAAGTTCTACCCACTGTTCTTTCACGTTCTCCATTTCTTCCTCTTCCAAGTCAGCAAGATACATAAATTTATCCCTGTGACATCTACTACCCGACTGTCGTTATTCAGCTGAAACCAAGAAACAAATTTTAAGATCTTGGGATGTGAAAAGGAAGAGACAATGCATTACCTCAATTCCCTTTGGAAATCAGACTAGAAACTGAAATTTTTGTGACAGTAAATCAGAACTGCTTTTCTGACCAGTCACTGCAACCGTTCAGCACTGTTCAGCAATGTTTGAAAAACTATTTGAAAATTGCTTGCTATTCCTCTTCCTTTGCACTATTATACCAAACTGTGTTTATGCTGTTAGGTGGGTTAGAAATCCTCTAGGCTTGCCCGAAAGTCTGCAAAACCCAATTAAAACCAACCAAACACAAAACCACCACCATGTCGGCTTGACAAAATACTTTCCGAAAGTTTTAAAGTTTAATTACTTTTTATCATAGTTGAAAGCATGCAGGCATCTTTCTTACCCAAAAAAACATGAGCCGCTGTATCTTGACTTCAGAATATACCTCAGCATGAACTTGCTAGATTCCTTCTCTGAATTGTAGACATGATTACTAGAAAAAGAAAACACAGTATTTTTTCTTGTTAAGAGTAACTTTGCACTTTGATACTTACAATCTGCTAACAGTATCAGTGGGATATTTCACTAATTACACTTTACATGGGGTAGAGAACTACCTGCTTATTTTATATATATAAATATAAATATATATATACATATATATATTCTTATGCTTTTAACATAAGAAAAAGGTTTCATAAAACTTTTTCACCCATTGAACACATCTGTCAAACAGAATCTAGAAGATCCTCAAATGAAGCTTTAAGAAATAAGAGCAGTGTCACAGCATCTGGATCACTCAAGTGCCAGGCACAGTGGGCACACTCAGGCTTGTAAAAATGGTTTCCCCATATTTCAGTTCCAAGCCCAAAGCGGCGGTTCCCAAGTCGTGACTGGCAGTGCTCTCAGATCACCTCATACTGCCTCCCCTCCTTGTTTTCAGCTGCTACATCACATCAAAAGGCAGCTAAAAATATACGCTTTTCTAATATTACTTTTCCAGGTAAGCAACTGCTGTACTTGCCACAAGGATGTTATATGATTGTGAACCAAGAGGAAAATGAACCACGATTCTAAAAATGGGAGAGTGGAATGCAAGACAAGTTCTTTAGTGAAAGAATAGGTCAGCACTTCCCTAAAATAATGACCTATTGTTTTTCAGAAATCCAAGAGGTATGATGGGATTTTAGTACAGTATGCTCACGCCACCGTCAACTCTAGCAGGAATAGGACACAATCTGCTTCTTCACATTAGAACCAAGCCTACAACGGTGTTTCCAGTTAACAGGAAACAGTGAGAAGCTACACTAATAGCTAATAGACACAGATCAGAAACAGGGTACTTGGATATCATGGATATTTACTGGAATAAGAAGTGTAGTACATGGATATCAGAAGTTATTGTTCCTAGGCAGAAACTCCAGAGTAATGACAGACAAGTACTAAACTTTATTGCTTTGATTCACCTGCGGAAGCACTAAAAATGATGAAATGCTTTTAAAACTATGCTATACTACTATACTACCAAAGATTCCATAAAAAAAAAAAAACTTCCCAGGGAACAACAGAATTGCAAGCACAAAACTAAGTCAAAGGCAGATGTGAAATTCTTTCACAGCATTAATGTTTATTTTCCTCCCCCCATCCATTACATTCCTAGCAGGTCCACAATACACAAGACACGAAAGAGTACTGTAGGTTCCAGGCAAAGCCAGTTATGCTGCTGCACTGCACACTAACCTTTTCCATTCATTAAAAACCTAAAAAGTACACAGAAGGTTATCTTGAAATTTCATGCTTAACTTCTTATTTTAAGATTTAGTGCCATTCTTATACCTCAGCTGCGCTCAGAAACGTGAGCAGTCAGGGCTCTGCTGTTACACCACAGGAGCAGGCAGTGACAGCCTGCTCCACCAGCTGCCTGCTGCTTCCACCACGGGCTGCTTGCTTCAGGAACCATTCTTTGCTATTGGAAAACAGTTTCCTGAACTCAGACAACCATCTCAGTTAAGACATCTTGCATTAGAATAAAACTTGAGTCATTCGTGAAGTATTTGATATTCCATTTAGTGATTGCAAACCAGTGTGAATCAATGTGCAGCAAACTTGTGGTTTCACAGATCTCTTGTGCAGCACCAAGGTCCATAAAATACAAATTACTTCTAAATAAACTGGCCCTAAAACCATCCCAGTATCCCAAAGGAGTGCTATCCGAGAAAATCAGATTTGGAAAATACTATTTTAGCCTGAACAAAATATAAACTTCATCTTATCAAAATCCACAGTATGGATTTTGCAGACCACTTCGCAGATTTTCCCAGAAAAATTTATACTAGAGTTTCCAAAACCTCTCTCCAACTAAAAATAATTTCTACCTACCCTAAGCTGAGCCTAAATTACCCAAAATTTATTCCAGAGATGTGCTCTGACCATTCTTTCCAGAAGCACCATTCTTTCCAGAAGCATCACAGCACCTTGCCACAGTTTTCTGCTCATGACTTCCTAATAGGAACACTCCTAGAGCTAACATACTTGGCATCCATCTTGATGTTACTTTACTTGAAAACTAGATGATACATTAAGTTACATTCAAAAAAACAAAACAAAAACACCCACCAACAAACCCTGAACTACACCATCTACCCAAGGGTGTAACTCTGTAGGTAGAACACATTAAAAACATGGCATGCCTATTTCCAAAACAAGTGCCTACAAAAATCTTTAGCTCAGCATTTTCACACTATGACAGCTTCAAAACACTGAAAGGCAATGATACAAAGTCAAAACAATCCCTAACGTGAAGGAAGAAGGAGAGAAATCAGAGTCCTCTCTCTGCATGCTGCTCAGCTCACTGCTAGCACCAGCACTGTGAGGGCACACTGCCCAACATGCTCAGCAACACTGCAACACACCACCTAGGCCCACAGAGGGAGAAGTAAAAGGAATGGAGAGAGGCAACAGCTACTGTCTGAACTGTCCCCTACTTTAAAGCGATTCACTTAGCAGTAACGAGAGACTCCACTAATGAAGATATTTTCCTTCACTAAGGCACTCTTGCTGAAGAGGTTAATGCTGCCTTTGCACGTTGCTAAACACCAGCTGCAGTAACAATGCTGCTCACATCACTCCTCAGCTCACTCAGCTGCAGTGAGTAACACTGGCCAACACTCACCGTTTGAGGTAACCCACCTGAGGAACGTACAACAGAGTTACAAGGCAATTTTCTCCTTTTCAATACACATTCCACTAATAATGAATTACTGCTGTAATACTAGAAATGACATTTCTTAAAAAAGAACAGAATAAAGTTAGCTGGAGTGGAGCCGAACATTTTTCTACACACAGACACAAAAATGCAGCCACAACAGATAGCCTGAAGAACCAATCTGGAGAGCTGGAAAGAAGAGATGGTTGTTAAATGTATTAAAATATAATATCCATATACCTTATATAATTTAACAGACACAGTAAAACAGCCAAGTGCCTCAAGTTTTCATGAAAGTTTAACTAGGGCAAAATCCTACCATTTCTCCTAGCAGGCTCTGAAAACTTCCCGGCCACCTGTGCTGGACCTGGTGCAGGACACAGCCTGCACACCATGTGGGATGAATCAGCCTGTGGAACCGATCCTGACTAAAATAAGCTATCAGAGTCTCAATCTTTTGCTACATCTTGTTTATGACTTTATAAATATTTGTGTTAGCACAAGAGAGGAGTGGATGAGTAATAAGCCAGACAGGGCAATACTGCTTCCTTGCACATCAGCACTGGCATACTCTGCTCACAACATTAAGACCTGAGATGGCTACTTTGAAGAGTAATTTCAGCTGAAGCCTGTGTGTTATTCAGAAATGGTTTTCTGGCTGCAAAGGGAGATTAGGACTGTATTTAGGATACTTCTTTGAACGCTGAGGTTGAAAATTCAGCCACTGAAAACATCCATTTCAAAAATAAAATGCTGAGTCAGCTCGATGCACCCTGCTAAAACAGTGAAAGCTACAAGTCCCAAGGACTTAGGCTGGCAGACTGTCAAGTCAAAGAAAAATAATGGCATTTGTCATTGTTTAGATCGAAAGTAAGAAATGACCTCCCTCTCAATACAAATTCACAATGAGTGAAACACATACTCAGCTTGCACAGCTGATGTTCTGCCAGTTTCTTTCTAAGCAATCCCTTGGCTACTTCAGAAATACCACCTCAAGGTATTTTCTGTGGGACAAGCCCTTCCACCCCCTTCCTAGGTTTTGGGACTCAAGAAAGTGTCAGAGCTATGCATGTTTAGATTATAAAATATCATTCAGCTGCCATCTATTTCCTTTCTTTTCACAAAACTTAAAATCCCTACAAGAGAAAAGCATGAATGAAGAGCAGAACACGAACAACGCTGTACCAAAATAGAGATACTTGTTTCTGAAGTACTTTTTTAATTATACAAGACTAGCAGCTAACGATACAACTGTGATGAACAAAGCTAGCATTTCTAATTACGTAAGGATCAGAGAGCTGCACACTGCAAGCATAAGTTTCAGATATTAATAAAGAAGTAATACTGCACAGATCTACTGAGAACACTGCATACCAATAGATATCTAAGGCAGAGAAGCTCTGGAACTTCAAGGCAGTGGTGTGCCTGAATTTCAGGTAAAGACATCCTCAAATTCATTGTTAAGGTGTTACTAAGAGTGGCCATCTGAATAATATGTAAACCCACACAAGCAACATCACATGCAAGCATTTTCCCTTAAATGACCCCAACACACCATAAGTACACAACTGAGCATAATGCCACCTTCATAGAAAAAGAAGAGAAAGCATTAAGTTAGCTAAGGAAGCTATCCACTATGGCAGAGAACTCTAGGTGACCTACCGAAATGATGCCTTCTTTACTGCTATATTTAAGCCTCCTCGATCATAAGCTGCCAACATATTTGGGTTTTTCTGTGTTGCTTTTTTTTTTCTTTGTTTTTAAACAAATAGCTCCAGTCAGAGCTGAGTTAAGCACAACAGCCCTCTTCATGAACTCTGCAAAAGCCATTAAAAGTATTCTTAGAAAAAGTTACAGAGCTCTCCTCTAGCAGGACAAAAATCCCTTCTACTTTTAAGAACACTAACAAAGCATATTCTTTGCTATCAGGTTCTAAAATACAAATAAGTCTCCAATTGCTGTAAAACAATCTAATGGTTGTTAGTCACATCAGGGCATTCCGTAACACATTGTGGAAAAGCAACTTTAATAGTTCTGCCTCAATAAAGCAAAAAGGAAGCACAGCTGAAAAGGAAGGATGGGTCAGCCTCATATACATATTCCTTACTAGCACAGTAGAACATCCATTTTCAAACTGAGCAGTATTACTTCTTATCACTTTATCCTACAATTTTCAAGACCTCCACAGCTTGCCTAATGCCTCTCCCTCTTTGCAGTACCTTTCCCAACCTCCTTACAGCCCTCTCCATGCACCCAACTACATCCCATGTTACCTTGCCATTTTACCC